AACCTAGAAGCGCTGGAGAGTTTCAGCTAGCTGTGCTTGCAATTTTTATGCTTATTGAGTGTCTACCAAAAATCTGCACTGACGCCTAATTTTCCTTTAAATGTAAGGGCTCCAATCTATATAGACCATGCACCTTCCTTCTTTTAAATCGTAGGAGGGCACAAGCATCCACCTAGCCAAATCAAAACAGAAAGGATAAACAACATATTACCTGACAGCTAGTGGTCACAACATTTAATCAACGATAAGTCTTGTCTCTCTGACATGCTTTTCCTCTGAAATTCAAGTGCAGGGTAATCGTGGAGGGCACCAACAAAGAGCTGAGCTCATTCAGCTTAAGCATCCTGTGCCAATCTACATCGACCTTGATGAGGTTTAGTCGGCAGAGGAGTGGCATTTAGTGAACAGATGATAGATCAACTAAAGACAGGTAAGAAGGAACAAAAATCTAGCAATGCAGTGCGAATTCAGCTAGACTCCAGCATGCTTACCACCACGTATCGACTTAATTTCTTCAGTGTGGAGAGAACAGTGTTATCAGGAGGATTGTTGAGCAGATCATCCTGTTGATTGCCATCATAGATAAGCTTATTCAGAGAATGTCTTGATCCAGATGAAGCAGGTGAGCAGGAAAAGGTTCTATTCCTTGTGTTTATGCCACAAATATCTGGGAGACCAATTCTTCTCCTGCGCCTTGCTAGGTTTATCTGGAGGTAATTGACTCTGCCTTTAATCTGGGAATAAATTCTTTCTCTGAGTGGTATAGCAGGATTTTATGATCTATTTGGAAGCTGGCAAATAAATCTCACTTGCAATATTAGATATTGTGCATCCTCACCCTGTGACCTTTTAAACTGGCCATAGTATGAAGCTCCGGGCAATCTTGCAGACAAAAAGAAGAGACACAAATGTAGCAAGGATTGGAGTTAATGAGGCATCCTGTAAGGTGGTGCCAGGCTGGGATTGATCAGCAACCAACTCCTGGTTGCCACTTTATGCTTTAGTTCAGAGGCTAACCTCTTTGATTTCAGTGAATGGAAATCAAATACAACTTGTGGTGCATACGTTTGAGATGAGCTCCACGTCCTGTAATTTCTGCATATGTTCTTGCATAAGAAAACTGTATGTAACTTGCGTCCATGATATAGCCTTCATATATATTCTGAAAGTTTAGAAGGATCCAATGCATGCAAAATTCGATTTTCAACACAATATATTGTGTCTTGTCTCAGCAATCATGAAACATGCCATATGCTTACTGTTTGTCCATCTCCAACCGTCCAACTAATGCCGGTCTTGAGAAGCTTTAAACCTTTCAGAATACTTAGCCAGCTGTACGACATATACCCTAGGTTGAGTCTCCATGTAGAACATGTGTGTTTTGGAAAGGAACACCCATAGGAAACCCTGTTGCCTGCAGTAACCGCCATCCTTGTCTAGCTAGCATGGTAATGTTGAAGAGCTGGAGAGACAGAAGCCAAGGCATCCACTTTCTTTTGGCCTTGACATTTTTCGCCAACTAAGCCAAAGAATTTAATGCCCGTGCTCTTGCTGGCACCCCCAGTACGTTTCTATCATAGTGCTAAGCTGATCACAAAAGCTTTTATTAGATCAAAAACATGGCATGGTGTAAGTCAGACATTGCTTGCGCCACTGCTTTAGAGAGACTTTTCTACTTCCATCTACTTATTCTCTTACACATATTTTCCTTAAAATACTCAAAAGTGTTAGCCTTTGATTTTCAAAGTAGACCAGCAACCACAGGTATCTATCATTCCAATCTTCTTTACCAATTCCTAGGTTCTCTATTGTGGCTCTATTGATCACAGTATCAATATTGCAGCAGGTCATTGTGGCCCCAAACCATCCTCATACAGTCCTCTCAAAAAAGAAGAGGAATCTTCATACAGAAAAAGGATCCTCATTACGTCATCTGCCTTCTCAGCTGAACTGTACCTTCTGAGGAGTTCTGCTCATATACAATGTATTAACTACTCAACTATGGCTGGATCCATCAAAAAAAAATGATACTTGGCAGGGAGCAATTTTATTTGCTCCTGATATTTGCCTTCCCTTGAAAAGAGAGACAGCAGCAGTGAAGTAGTTGAAGCTTCAAGTGAGATATTCTTTCCATCAACTTTAGACATATAATTTCCAGCCTTAGATATCTCATCTTTTCCAATAACATTCTGATGATATTATTTAACAGACGAGAGCTAGGAGCACAACCACTCTTGTCCATTGATGAAAACATATTGTCAGCTTCTTCCACTAATCCTTCTCTTAGAAGATTTGTTATCATAACACCATAAGAAGACACATTAGGTACCAACCCATTGGCTGATATTGCAGCAAACAAATCCTTAGCTTCTTCTCTTCCCTTAACCGCGTACATTGCATTAATCATGGTATTGAGTATTCCAACATCCAACTTCACATTCATTGCACCTAATTTGTCGAACAAGACGATTGCTTCATCAACGCAATTGTTTCTACAAAGTCCTCCAAGAATATAGCATATATGGAAATGTCCACTGTTGTTCCACTTTCAATCATCTCATTGAACATTTTCTTCGCAGAAGTTCTGCCAGCACGAAACAACCCATGAAGTATGGCGCCATATGTTGCAGTTGTAGGTTTAATTTTGTTATGCATCCTTTCTCTGAATAGGGTCAACCCATCATCAATCCTTCCATTTCTAGAATAGCCATCAACAAGTGTATTGTATGTGACAACATTGGGCTCAATGCCAGCTGATACCATGGCATCAAGTACTCCGAATGCTTTATCCATCTTCCCGGCTAAACAATATCCGTCAATGAGTGAATTAAATGTAATAACGTCAGGCCTCTCACCAATGTTTATAGCCAAGTCAAAGATATCGTGTGCATTTGTAACCCTTCCTTCCTTGCATAGACCGTTTATTACTGAGTTGAAGAACACCATATTTGGACGAGGAATACCTTTGTTCATCATTTCAGAAATGCTTTCACCAAATCACCATGTGTACAAAAGCCCTGAATTAGAGAGTGATAAACAACCTTGTTCGGTTGTAAGCTGTTAGAGTACGTAATTGGCCTAATGGGCCCGTTAGTCTTAGGGTTAATTAGATATAAGGGTCGCTTGCTTAGGGGTCAAGTAAGCCTTGCTTGGGAGTCAAGTAAACCTCTCTATATAAAGAGAAGAGATGTATCAATCTAATCAAGCAAGAATTAAGAAGGAAATCCCTTCCCTCTTGCCCGGTCGTGGGCAAAAAGGCCCCCGGCCGGCCCTCTCACGCCCTCCTTCTAGCAGCACCATAACAATTTGGTATCAGCTAGCTTCGGTTCGATCATGTCTTCACCGCCACCAAGCCCGTCTCTTCCGCTGCCGGTCACCTCGTCGCCTCCGGCGACCATCACGACCGTCGCTCCGCTCCTGCCCGCGCCGGGATCCTCCGTCGCGCCCGCCCCCGCCGTCCTCACCCCGGAGGTGTTCGGGGTGCTGTGGGACCTAACCCAGGCGGTCCAGGAGATCCACATGTTCTTGGCCGGGTCCTACGGCCGCCCATCGCCGCCCCCGTGCCGCCGTGGCTGCCGCCGCACCAGGCGGGCTTCGCCGGGCCGCTGCAGCTGCCATCCATCGCCACCACCGCCCAGCCCTGGCTGCAGTGGCAGCCGCCGCTCCTAGCGGCATCCGCCGCGCCCGGCGCTTTGCCGCAGCAGCCGTTGCCGCTGCCCGGCGCGACACCACAGCAGCCATCGTCGGTCAGCTCCGCCGCTCAATATGGGATGCCCTACAACGGGACTGCGACGGCCTTGTTCCCATCAGCGCCGCCGCCATCCCAGGGCGTCCACATCCAGCAGATCAAGTCCCCGCCGCCGCAGTCACCGCTTCCGTCTTGGATCGCTACCCACCACGTGTCGGCGACGGTGAGGCTGCAGGCTGCTGCGCATGGCCTCCTAGCGCGTCGGCGTGTGCGGGAGATGTGTGGTCTGCAGCTGCCGCTCCTCCAAGTTGCCCTTCGTTGCGCAAAGGACCTCGATCTCGTCCGCTGCGTCGAGGATCTTGGGCATGCGGTTTCCCCCACGGGCGGCGGGCATGCTGTTTTCCCCGTGGGCAGCGACCTCAAAGTCTGCGACATCGGTGGTTGGGGGGGCGCACCCCTCCTCGACATTCTCCATCGCAAGCCCTCCACTCTTCCCTGTGCAGTGCAGACCAACATCCATACACATGCACTCCTTTTGTCCAGGTGGTGTCCATGGGATCCAGGTGGCTGTACACGTGCACGTCCAAAATAAAGCATCACAGTCTATTTCAGGTTGAGAGTAATAACACAAGCCGAGATGTAAAAGGCTTGTTTTTAGGTGTTAGGTTTGTGTTGCGTCGAGTCATGGTTATAAGTTGGTTAGGTTGCAGCTCGAGGACAAGCTGCACCTGCATGTCCAGGTGGGGTGTAGTGTTAGAGTACGTAATGGGCCTAATGGGCCCGTTAGTCTTAGGGTTAATTAGATATAAGGGTCGCTTGTTTAGGAGTCAAGTAAACCTCTCTATATAAAGAGAGGAGATGTATCAATCTAATCAAGCAAGAATTAAGAAGGAAATCCCTTCCCTCTTGCCCGGCCGTGGGCAAAAAGGCCCCCGGCCGGCCCTCTCACGCCCTCCTTCTAGCAGCACCATAACATAAGCCCATTGCAATCATCTCATTTAGTTTGTCCATTGCATCAGACAGACTGCCCATTCTGCAAAGTGCTGCTGTTACAATTGCATAGGTGAATACATTAGGACTCACTCCTTGTTCCTGCATTTCAGTAAATATGAGCATAGCTTCATGCATCATTCCACGTTTAGCATATGCATCAATTAATATGTTGAAAACATTGCAGTCGGCTACAATACCATTGTCTTCCATTGAATTAAAGAGATTAATCATATCAGCGAGGCATCCTTCGGTGGCATACTCGTGAAGAAAAGTAGAGTACGTAACGATATCAGGTTTGAGGCCCTTGGAGGTCATGGAGTCAAAAAATTCTGCAGCTTCTTTGCTTCTTCCATGCTTGCAAAGGGAGTACATGAATGAGTTCCAAGTATACATATTTGCACTGGCGGAGCCAGAAAAAATCTATCAGAGGGGCCAAGTGCACTTAAAACTGATTGGAGAGGGCCAAACCATTAATTTAGCAGTCAATCATCACTAATTTCCTACTGTTCATGAGCTAATATGCAG